TAAATTCTATATGTGACAAACAATGTTTTCACAGATACGAAAAATAGCGATACATTCTTGTTGCGATATCTAGAAATCTAACTACATCAGCGAAATATTTTTTTGAGTGTATGGAGAAATTTCAAGAAACAATAGTTTCTGTACTTATTCGAAAACACGATACAGAATGCTATGAAAATTCTAATTCTCTGATTAATCATTAAAATATCTTTAACGTTTATAAAGTGATGTTGAATATGAAAGAAAAAATTATGATGTACGATATATATATATAAAAGAAAAATAACATTAAAATCTATGAATTGTTATATATTTTTATAATAAATTTTTCCTTTATCGGTATCTATTAATGAATGAAATGCGATATTTTTCACTTTATATCTTTCTTATGTTTCATCTTATGATATCATATTACATTTTATATCATCACGAGTATTCCCCGTACAGGTGAGGAGGCATCGTATTTGAAAGAGTAAAAGGAGACTACAAGAGAACATTTTTAGTCGATTACTTCTTGGTTAGAGCCAGCTGACGGCAGCATTATCTGAGAAATTCGATCTGATATCCACGCCACGGATCGATGGATCAAATTCGTCTCTGAAGTTTGCTCGCAAATTGTGTTTTCGTCGAGAAATTAATATTAAAATTTTCATCCTTATCGAAAATTCGTTTTGGATATCGTAAGAACATTTATAAAACAATTGAATGGAAATAAAATTATCTAAACGCAATGTATAGCAATATCTTTGCTGAATTCACGAAAGACAGATGATGCCGAAAGCGTATCGGGGATGCGTGAAAACGCTTGTATTTAGTACACAAAAGTCTTTCACAGTATCGACCATCTGGAGCGACTACCTCGTCTGACAAAAACAAGAAGAAAGCAATGGTCAGCTAAACGGGAAGCCCCATGTTTCTCTTTCTCTCTCTCTCTCTCTCTCTCTCTCTCTCTCTCTCTCTGGATCTAAACTCAATTACTGAGCGTACATAAAAATCGCCGTTTAAACGGCGGAAAAAGACCATTCAACGGCAGCAAGAAACTCGCGTCTCGCGTATCAGCCTAACGACGACTCATCTGCGACGAACAATCGCGCCGCTTATTCTATCCAACTGGAGCAAATTCCGGAATCCGTGAACTAGAACCGCGCTCGTTCCAGCGAGACGTACGTAAGGTTGAATCGATTTGCCGGTGTAAAACCGGCTGGGCGTCGGCGGCTGCTGCCAGTAGAAAGAGACGGAAAGGAAAAAAAAAAAAGGAAACGCCGAAGGACAGTGGGAGCGTGCGGGGAGCGAGGCAAACGTGTGGAGGCTGCGGGGGTACCGAAGGGAACGAAGAAGCCGAAGGTGGAAGCGGGACCGCAGCAGGACGGCGAAGGAGGATAAAGCGTGGCTGAGGGAGAGATCGAGAAGGACAGGGCGTGAGGGAGGGCGGGAGGAAGGGAGACGGTGAGACCGAGACTCGATCTCTCTGACTGCCGCTGGCGGGGTGCACGGACCGCACTCCCCTTTCCGCTCGACCGATCTCCTTCGTCAGTGCCGGCGTGGCACGGGTTTCTTACAGGTGCGTTTACAACCTGCCTCACGGTTTTTTCATCCGTCTACCTGACAACCACGGACAAGCACTGCGACAAATGCGTCTCGGACGGCAGTCGCGCTACCTTCACGAGAGCGGAAGCGCTACCTGATCTGGAGGGTTGGATCGAATTAGCAGTGTAGTGTTGCTTTCGGAGTGGATTAGCGACGAACGCAGTGCCTAAACGTTCACCTGGACGTGGATGTGCACTGGCGTACAAAGCGCTTGCGGACGCAACGCGGTCTCCCCTGCCTCTGAAACTTGAACGAGAAACCGTATCTTCGATGCAAATCTACATTATTGCGCGCGCATGGTTTACATCGGGCAAGGCTGAGCGCCGAATGTGCAAGGTGAGAAAATTCCACTCGGTAGCTGCGGGACCGAACGGAGAGAGCGAGAGTGAGAGAAGGAGAGAGGATGGGTGCTCAGGTTTGAGTTTACGCACCTGCTCCTCATACCACGTCCCTACCTAAACCTCCTGCGTTCAACCTGCGCGGCATCGCCTCATAGGTACTGGTGGATAGGATACCGGTGAACCCCCGCGCGCACCCTTCGCCCTCCCGCGCCGCTCGCTCTCTCGAACCGTCCGTCGATCTCGCTCCGACAGCCGTGAGCCGGCCGGAACTCGCCTCTGTCGCACCAAAGGCAGCGCTAGAGCGAGGCAGTCGCCGCACAGCATCCAGCAGCAGCGCTACTAGCGGCAGCCAAACGGAAAGACTCCCAGGCGAGTTGCCCTGCCGTATAGGTGTGTGGCGTGTGTGCGAATCGTCCATGAGCCTCGCTTGCGTGGGTGTGAGCTGAGGAAGCCTACCTGGCGGCGTCCGACACGCAGTAACTCGCGCGCTCCTTCGTGTTCTCCCGTAGGAAACAGCGTCGCGCGCGCGTACCGTTCCCAGCTCGGTCGTTTCTTCCCCGAAAGGGGAAACTGCGAAGTTTCTGGAAAATTTTTAACCATCGTGGAGGAGAGAAGAGTGCGTTAACCGCGCGCGCGGCTCCTTTGAGAGGAGCGCCTTACCGCGCGGTTCACCGGACGAGATCGGAGCGGGATCGGAAGTGCGACGGAAAAGTACACGTCAGTTCCCACGATCCCGTGTATGTGTGTTCATGTGTACGAGAGAAAAAAAATAGTGATACGCGAATAAGTCAGTCATTGTTATCTCGGAGTGGATGTCCCCGGAGATACGACGAATGCTTCCGTGGCCGATCGTTGGACCAATAAGGAATTTCGGGCGGAGGAGATGCGTTGGTGGCTGAAAAGAGGAGACTGAAAGGGAGACCTGAAAAAGGTTTCTCCGTCAATATCGTCCAGGTAAGACAAAGACAGCAAATATAATTGGGGATTCTCTATGCGCCGAAAATAGCGGGTCCATCGTGTGTCCACTTCATTGCGTCCCTACGGACATTCGCGATTCCAACATGGCTGCTGGGACTAGCCGTGACCGCTGGGTCCGCGGAAGCCATGTTGGCAGGTGTGCTCGGCTCTCGGAGATAACCAGTTCGCGTTCGTAAAACGCATGCAGCACCGATACGCCGAATGGTAGGCTGAAATGAGCGCGTTACGATCGAATTATCATTTAAATTGCTGCTCGTCTGCTGCCTTCGAGAAGCGCACCTGTAAAACAATGTACGCGCGGTTTTGTTAGCAAAATGGATACGTGAGGTGTGATTAATAGAAAACCTCCTTCAACATTGTCCATATCTATTTCCTATACGATTGCGAAAGTTTGCGGTAAACTGATATGCAGTGGTTCTCTTCAAGTCGATTAAAATCCGCAACTACTGATCAATTATAGAATTCTTTATTTCGCAATTAAACAGAGAGTTAAGGAATGTTAACGTTTGCGTATTACCACCTTAGGTAAATATCAATACAAAATGCCAATTACCAAACAGAAAGTTAAGAAATGTTAACGCTTGCGTATTACCACTTTAGGTGAATATTAATGCAAACTGCCAATTGCGGCATTTTATGATAATTCTTATCAAACATGGCACAAAAATGTAATGTTTAACAACGTGGATTTCGGCTTTAACGCGTTTGTTGAATTATCAATCATACGCGATACCTTTTACGTGCTGCTTTTTACATTTTTATGTTAATTAAAATATCGATGAATATAATATATGGCATGCATATAAGACGATTTATGTGATATAGATATAAGATAAGATATAAGTATATCAACTTATTGTCAATAGTTGATTCGGTGTTAGAAAATATTTTCCATGCTGGATTATATTGCTCTCAAACACACTTCTTATTTAAGTTTAATATGAATGTGTATTTAAAAACTCGCATGCGTATCGTGAAGAAACGTACAGAAAACTTAAAATGTTATAAAAATTTTGTTTGTTTAAAATAAAATTAGTTTGAATATGAAAGAAATTTGCGATATTGAAAATGATCGAAATAGAAGAAAAAATAGAATTAAGACCATGTGCTTTTACTTGACTGCGAACTGAACATTTACATTATTTTAAACGAGATAATAGAGATAAGTATAAGTAAATATATGTGCAATGTACATATGAAATATTGGAAAAATGAAATCATGTATACATTTTACGGAAATAAGTCAGCAACAATTTGATAAAATTAAAAATTGTATAGAAGTATTGAATAATTCATAACGGTGCAACGCATGTGTCAAAAATTTAATCTAATTTTTTTTTCGATAAAATATCAAAATAAAGCACTAAAATTTAAGAAGAACTTAACTAAAGAATTTACTAATAACGTTAAAAATTAATGTTAATCCGAACATTTTCAGATCTTAATGCATTTTCAAGTCATAAACAAATAATATATTTATCAGATTTATACTGTTGTGCATTGATTTTTATATTCATTATTGTTGTTTATATTTATCAATGTTTTTATTAATTAATGTTTATATTTATTAATGTTCAACAAGTAATGTTAAAATCGATTTTGTTCGATATTTTTAAAAACCCAAAAAATGCTAAAATATATAATTAAATATATGTTTTAAGAAACGTTAGTTTTGCAAAGAACAAAATCAGATCTACCGGTAACTTATGTATTCTTATTTTAGTAAATTTATTAAACAAAATTTTTTTAAAATATAACTTTTTCGTAAGAATTTATATATAATTATGATTAAAATTGCTTGCTGATTTGTTCGGTATTTTTAAAAATGCTAAAATATATAATTAAATATGTTTTAAGAAACTTTAATTTTGCAAAAAAAATCAGATCTAATCAGATCTAGTGGTAATGTTAATCAATGTAATTTATTCTTATTTTTCAGTTGCAACTGGTATGCCGACCGACATCGTAGTTACGTCGGCTTCGGCCACGATTTCAGAGGAGACGAGTAGAGGTCGGGACCTGGGACTTGGACCGTCTCCAAGGTCAGGTTCCTCCGCAGCCTCGTCGTCCTCCAGCTCTGGCGCGACGTCGACCTCGAGAGGATTCGATCCGTCTGGCACTCTCGCGGCTTATCACCATCACCGTCACAGCTTGGTGACTGGTCTGGGTCATGCTCATCACCGGGAGTCATCAGCCTTCGTGCCTGTCGTGCCTTCAAGATTACATCTCACGCCTTATCCGGGCGAGATGCATCCTCACTTAACCGGGCCACCGCCCTCTTCGTCATCATCGACGAACTCGGAACACGAAGTTGGTCCTGAATCCTCAGTAGCTAGAAAAAGTTCCTCAAACTACGAAATCATGGCCATGATGGCTGACAAAAGAAAGGAATTGACGAGAGCACTTCTCATACCGCCACCTCCCCTCCTGGAAGCACCTCCCGGTTATTCGGTGTTTGCCGGTCCCTTTCCAGGTAGTTCTGCTTTGTACCCACCGGGTGGTCCATTAGCCCACCAACATTTGGATCGCAGGCTACTTCGTGCACCTGGCAGAGCATCCAGGCCGAAGAAGCAGTTTATTTGTAAATTCTGTAATCGACAGTTTACAAAATCGTACAATCTTCTCATCCATGAGCGAACTCATACCGATGAAAGACCGTATTCCTGCGACATTTGTGGCAAGGCGTTTAGGAGGCAGGATCATCTTAGGGATCACAGGTATAATACACGACTTATTTTTATTAAATTAATAAAAAATAATATAAAAAATGTGAAAAATTAATTTGTTTAAATTTTATTCTTTGTTAATTGTATTAATTTTTCTCGCAATATTGAATTGTTCAGCAATAAAGTTAAAAGTATAAATAGCGGATTAAAAATCCGCCATGGAGCATAAAACTTCAAAATTTTTAATTAGAATGTCAACTTTTTAATACTAAAAAAATTTTTTTCAAGCGTAAGAAATTTATTTATATTTAAATCTTATCGTCCATTTATTGAACGATGTTGCAGTATTATAGTTTTAAATTTGAAAAAAAAAAAACGGTCATTTTCTTTGTTTTGCTTTCAGGTATATCCACAGTAAGGAGAAACCTTTCAAATGTGGTGAATGTGGCAAGGGCTTCTGCCAGAGCCGCACTCTCGCGGTTCACAAAATCTTGCATATGGAAGAATCGCCGCACAAGTGTCCGGTTTGTGCGAGAAGCTTCAACCAGCGCAGCAATCTCAAGACACATCTTCTAACACACACGGATCACAAGCCTTACGAGTGCACGTCATGCGGCAAGGTGTTTCGCAGAAACTGCGATCTCAGGAGACACACACTCACCCACGCTGTGGGTGACGTGCCGCCGGAAGCGTTGGAAGAAGCGTTGCGCGACGACGACAGCCCGGAAGAGGACTGCCCCGAGCCAGGACCCTCGACCTCCGCATCGAAGTCCGCAACATCGTCCATGTCCTCGGCGTCTTCGAGTTCGTCCGGATATCCTTCTCAAGGGCCGTCGGCGCCGCCGCCCGCACCCACAACATCGGGATCCGCGCCGTCTCTTCCTCAAAGACCTCAGCTTCAAATTAGAAGAGATCTCCTGCCCGCCGTGAAACCGTCGACGGTGACGAGCGGTTCCGCGCCTCACTCGCTCACCCAGAATCCACCAGCTGCTCTTCCGCCGCCACCGCCACTCATATTGACTTCTTACCGACGAAGAATCGGCTCGCCAGGTCCCTCTAGAGTACTTCTCGAGATTCAGGAGCGTGAACGTGAGAGGGAACGAGAGATGGAGCAGAGCAGAGAGAGAGAACGTAACAGAGAACGTGACAAAGAAGCGGCCAGACCACCCAGAGCACCAACACCGCAGCCACCACCGCCACCTCCTCGGCCTGCACCGACACGCCAAGGCTTCACCATCGCCGATATAATGGGCCGATAGAAATTTCGCACGTGTTGCAGGTGATTTTGCTACTTCCAGATCGAGTTTCCAGATATAGAGAGATGAAGTATGTGAAGAAAATTCTTCACAAGGAACAATGTCTTTCTGAAGATTGTACGATATTTTTGAGAGAAGAGAAAGTAACTAACTTGTCGAAAATCTGCATGGCTTATATATTTTTCACAGAGATAACGCGAGGACAATGCACTTTTGACATAGACAATGCGGGAATTGAAGCATACGGAAAGTAGATAAAACTTTGAAATTTTTTTGAAGCTTTTACGAGACCTTGGCAAATTCTTTCAAGGAATCTACGCGTGCATAATTCTAAAATAGTTATTAGATGCGAAAAGCTTAATTCTCCCGTTCCGCAGTACAGTCATATGATTGCGTATTATTTTTTAGACCTAATATAATAATATAGACATGAGCAGATATACAGAGAATTTTAAAAAAATGACAAAATAATATTACATGACTTGGATAAAGCAATAGTCTTTTTTAAGAATAAGACGATTAAACAAACGCATACCAAAAATGTGCCTTCATTGTTTGTTCTAAAGTATTCGCTAAAAGAAAAAGAGACTGGGCTCGCGCGAAGCTATAGTTCTTTCCGTGACGCATTTCGATTGCGAAATGAATTAATAGGGGGAAAAAATCAAATTAATCCCGAGTGCACATATAGTACATAGGACTTTAAATGAAATTAAATCTCATGATTATTTCTTTTTTTAAATAAATATATATATATTTAAATAAATTTATTAAATAAAGAACCACAAAGATTTAATTTTATATATAAATATGTGTATATCGGGATTTAAAAGATTAGTAAGAAGGGATAATTATGGAATTCCCGCTGAGTACTCTTTTGTCCCGCCGATGTAGAGAGAAGGGATAATGCAAATTTTGCGGTCGAGGTAACATCCTGTGCCACCGTGGCAGGTGCAATACGGCTTTGTGCCTGTTCGGTCCGCGCGCAAAATACCTGCTCCCGCTACTGCTCCCGCTTTTCCCTTCTAAAAATATTCTCGGCCATAGGCGAATGTCATCAATATTTTTCTCCCCTTTTTTCCCCACCCCGGTGCGAGAGAGAGAGAGAGAAAGAAAGGCGTTAATGGTCCTTTTGTGAGACTCCAAATGTACACTGTCCGACCGAGGAGGCGATCCTTTTGGTCTACGCGCCGACACAAAGATATACCTTCGTTTCAGTGGATCTCAAAGAATATGAGAGCGACCGTTAATCGAATACATTATAAAATAATTTATCATTTCATTTTTTTTAAATATTCTATTATGATTAAATTAAATTTCGATGTGTTTGAATACTCGAACAATTTGGCTGATTGTGCTTTGCGTTCGGTTGACATGCGTTGCAAATAAAAGACAGAATAGAATTGACTACAAAATACAAGAGTTTAATGTTTGAAGTAATATTTACCAATAGCAGAGAGTATCATCATTTTGTAATTTTTAATTATAAAATGTATACTGACTTTCCACACATATTTTACGAATAATATTGAAAATTTAGTTAACGAACGTTTGAAGATATGAGTTGTTTTACACAACGCTTTGTCTTAAGCGAAAACAATAGAAATAAATTAGATTAAATTAAATTCCATATTCATTTCAAATATGCATACAATTGCGATCATAAAGTTAAACATTAATTTAATTCAGTTGTTCTTTATTAATTTAATTTAATTTACTTCTAAATGATTTTCGAAACGAAACGTTGTGATAGGAATCCCATGAATTTTATAAATACCTGATATGTATGTGTATATTATTTTATACACATATTTGCAATTCGGATAGTCGAATAACTGTACATGAGATAATATGCATAATGTTTTATAAGTATAATAATAATAATGTAATTATTATCTTAGGTATGTTATATGATTTTTTCAAAAATTCACGGACAAATGTTTGTTAAACCGCGAACATTTGATTATTAATTTCATCAAGATATTCAATTTATGATTATAATTACTTTTGAAAGTTATGTATGTAATATCAGTAATGCATTTATCACGCATTTAAAATCAATCCGTTCAGAATGTGATCAGATACTTTAGAATAAAATAAACTTTATAAGTATATAAATTTTAAATAAGTCAACGTATATATTTTTTAATGTGTTTTTTCAATCAGAACAGTATATATAAAAAATTATAATTTGTTTCAAAATGTTAAAGATTTATTAGTGTAAAAGTAAAAATTAATTATATGAATTATTAGAAATCATCATTATTCCAACATATTATCAACTGACTACTAAGACAAAATATATTGTAAATTGAAATTTTTACACATTTATATTTTAACACGGAAATGTAATTTTTTATGTATATGTGCTTGTTGAGAGAGAGAGAGAGAGAGAAAGAAAGAATGAAATTTCTTCAGTATGTGAGAAAGCGCAATAGAGATAAATAGCGCATAAGAATAAAAAAAGACAACAATGAAGCAGCAATGAAGAAAGAAATAATGAAGAAAAGAGGAACATAATGAGATAGAAAAATAATAAATAAGTAAAACTGAAGTTGGATTGTTTTAAGAAAGATCTAGTTAAGTGCAAATTCAATTAATTGCCAATACGAGCCGACAAGCGCACACATTTATGCGATGTTTTTTTTTAATTGAATTTTAAAAAACGAAATATTTTAATTCTTACTTAAGTCTTTTTAAACTGTGGTGTAGATAATATCATATTGGTCGGAATTTGCACTTAATAAGATAGACAAAGAAATATTTGGCGTAGATGTTCTTTTCGATATAGACTTAATGTATAGTGATATATGCAATGTACAATATACTACGTACAACGAGAGCCGTCTACATCGTAAATTGCAAATGTGCAAGCGATCAAACGCCTGTTATTTTCTATGTTATCAGATTATACTTTGTATAAGTATCTATATTTTTAGATTTATATGAGAGTTAAGCGACTTTTTGTAAATTATATTAAGAAAGATGAAATAAAAAATGATATAAAAAACCGTAAAAGGTCTGTAACATCAATTAAAAATCTTTTTGCAAAAGTAAAATTATATTAAGATTACTGCAACTTTTATATAGGGTGTTTATCAGTTCATCAGAATCGTTTTACTTAATTTATTAATGTAAGCCGCATTTGCTGCAAGCAAAATACATATAATGTATTTATTTGTATTTATTTATTTGTTTAAATAATAGATTGGTACGTACCAATCTATTTGCTGTAAACAAAATACATATAATATACGTATTAGATAATAAATACACTTTTATGTAAATAAACACACAAATTAGGTATAAATAAATACAAATAAACAAATAAATACATTATATGTATTTTGCTTGCAGCAAATGTAGCTTACATTAATAAATTAAGTAAAACGGTTTTGATGAACTAAAACATATTATCTAAAACCAAGTGCAATTTTAACTAGTTACTAATTATTAATTAATGTTATTTGTAATTGATTTTAATCAACAATAACATTAGAACAGAAATTATGAAATTAAAATGTATAAAATAATTTTTATTTCATGCAGTAAATAATATTTTTAATACAAATTAGTTACAAATTAATATTAAAATTGCATTTTTTTATATAACTAAATAAGTAAGATATCGATTAAAATATTGAATTCTTTTTTCTTTTGACGGTACTCCAAAAAAATTACTCTTCGAGATATGTAACCGACCGTAGCTAACTTATCTGCTCACTCATTCAATAATTTATGTAAAATTATAATATACTTTTTCAACAAAATTGATAATTATTCATAATATTTTAATAAAGAAAAATATTTATTAATTTACATAATATGGAACAATTCTATTTACCAGCTGTTAGTATTTTCATACTATAGTCTTTCAATACTTTCATCGAGATAGCGTGACAGTTCATACAAGCGCATAGAATGAATAAAAGTTAATGAAAAACATTACAAAAGTAATGTTTAACTTATAAAAATGTTTAAAAAAGTGTGAATTAGCAGATATAAATATTTATAAAAATCAAAGTCTAGATTCAAAAACGCAAATTTTAAGCAGCTTTTAAGCAACTAAAAGCATGTTGACAATGTCCACTATATTATCTTAATCCTTGGTGAAAGAAAAAAGGCTTTGTTTGACAGGAACTATCCACAAAGGTTCAAACAGCATGTAAGTGAATAAATAAAGATAAGATAAATCTGATGCCTTTAAACTTAGTATCGTGTTTTTTTTTCTTTTTTTGCACAAGAATTAGAGATTGAGTATTTTATGCGGTGAATGTGGAAGTATCATTAACAAACAGCATCCTCTTGTTGTTTGTGATTATATATAATTTATAAGAAATAAACATTATATTTTTTCAGATATCTTTCTATCAAAGTATATATTGTGAAAATATATTTTAAATTGAAACGGAAAATGGTTTCTCGATAGAGAATTAATTGAGCGGAAATTATGGTCATTTTCTCTCCGGTTTTAACCGGAAAAAAAGGACGATCATTGGGTGAATTACTTGCAAGACAGTTTGTTTGCACATAAACGCGTAGTATGCCGCTGGCAGCACGACTCATACATTTTACGAGCGGGCTCTGCCGCTCGCAGACGGCTTTATGACGGGGGAGGTGAGTAAAAATCGACAAACAATCTATTCCATCCGTACATGTCGGGCGCGGCCCGTCATCGTTACACGGATGATAAGTCCTATACGAACACGTCGTTTTGTGACTGTCTTCCACTTCCTCTGCCGGCCTCGTTGTCAGAGTCGGTCTCTCTGACGGCGGCGACTTTCTGTGAAAATTTCGGCGTAACTCAAAAGCTAAGTCAAACATAGGCGTGTTTCACGAGGTGTCTCGGTAAATCCGGTAAAGCCGCGAAGGCAAATTCCTACGCGAGCGACACACGTCACGCTTTACTTTACGCACCGAACGCATACACATGTATGTATACATCATACGCGCGGATGTGCCAACGGATACTTAGGTGCTTCGCACGTCGAAGATTGGTGACTTGATGTAATAAAGTTGTAAATGCCAAAAAAATAAGAATCTCAGCGGCTACCTTAACAAATAAATAATATTTTACCTCAAAATTTGAAAAAATAAATATAAAAAGAATTCTTTTTTTACACTTATTTCGAATCTTTCTTACAAATGTCGCACTTTTGCTAAGAATGCATTTTCGAAAAACATGACATTTGGAATTTAATTAATATAAATTTTTTTTCTTCAATTTTGCGAGACTGCGGGAAAAGATTCAGCCCGTAATAAGATTGTACGATGCCGTGGAAGAGGTCAAAATTGCGTCCGGCATTATGGTGGTCGCCATAATCTTACGTCGCCCGTACATTTGCGGGCGTAGTATTATAATGTACATGCACGTTGCATACTTATACACGTGGCCAGTAGAAGGTGCGGCTTTAGTCCACGATTCTTCTTGGGTTCGTCCTATGCCCATTATGCGAGCGAACTCTTCGTGGTGCCTCTCTGAACCTTAAGATAAAGTCTCACTCACAGCGGCACCCATTTATCACTTACAGAATTTTATACGTTGCTGATATTTCAAGTGTTCTGCAAGCGTGAAATTAATAAAGTTTTATATTATTTAAGGAGATGCTTCTAGAATAACTCCATCAAAAATAAACATTTATAATTGCAAATAATTAATTGTTTTAACGCTTAACACATTCGCGTAACGTGAAATAAAGAAGATGAAAAAGTCCTAATCAACTTCGTTAAACAAATGAGAAGATCAAATAGTTTTCTGACTAAAAATGCAAATCGGCGAGAATTCGCATAAACTGCGGAAATATCCAAGTTAATTCTTCGAATTATAGCGTTAACGGCTTTTCTTGCGAAAACAAGCACGCAGAGATAACGTATGATAAAACTTTGGCAAATCCAGAGCTGTAAGCTCCAGTGATGTATATTGCTATTCATACACACAGAATATGAAATCGTTGAAGACGCCGCTATTTAATAAATTATTGAACACTTGATATGTTTGCAGATAAAAATTGTCGAGTGAAAAAGTATTGAGAAAATTTCAAACTTATGACAAAGAATTTCTAAATTAATAATCGTTGTTAAAATGATCAATTTAAGCTGTACGACAACGTTATAAGTACATTAGATTAAACGTCGCATTGGTATTACTTTAAAATAAAAAAATATCTTGATAAAATCTTAGAAAAATTCTGCAATACTTTTGTACATTTTCGCTTATTTATTTTTGCCTCGTCAATAAAGTCCCAATAAATTGGAGCGCATTTGCTTATCTTTATTGAAACGATTGTAAAACCGTTACAGCATCACGGCTCGTGCTCTTAATGCTATTCTAGAACGCAAAATTCGTACGCTTACTGGTTGTGAAACGGCCATTAAGGGATACATTGTCGTGTGTGCACATACACCTTTCCATTAGGCACGTCCGCGTATCTACGAGTCGCGACTTCACACCGACGAAGAACGCGAGTAAAGCTTTGATCTAACCGCCATTGCTGGAGACACTTATCATCGTATATATAGTCGACAACTTAGAATCCACGATAAATTCTTGCCGATGTTTTATACCCTTTAGACACTCTACGGACTTATTTATTTCTGATTTATCAAAAGAATAATTATTTCTGATTTTCTAATATCCTCCTATTTCATACATTCTGTTTCTGTCTTATATTTATTTGGGATATGTTTTATATAAAATACGGCACAATAATATTGCAATTATATTAAGAAGAGATTGCACAATATCTCGAAAGAGAGATAATCGAACTATATTGGTGTACAGCGAGATAATAAACGATGATGTAGGTAAGATAAACGATGATATAGATAAGATAAACTGCAGAATATTGACAATTCGTAGATGTTTACTGAATTTTTCAGAAAATTCTGTTTTGTTTTTCCACTGTCATTTACAGTAGGATATGGTAGCGATTATCTTCTTTAAAATTCCCCAAAAAAATAGATAAAAAACATATTATCACACTGTCCTTTTCATTATATATTTAGGCCCGATAGGTTTTCAGCTTTTCACTCAAGCTTCTCAATCACGTTTTTCCCTTCAGATTACGTTATCTCGAGATCGCGCTGGCGCTTTCTCACGCCGTTGCTCGGATATATACCTGCTAATTCGACAAGACCTCGTCTTGATTGGTCCTCGTTATCTTCCACACTGCGCGCGCGGCACGATGTCGTTTACAATATTGGGCCCCGGCTTATAATCTATCGGTCGGGACCTCTAGTCCTCGAAACGAGATGGTGTTCTTCCTCTCATCTGCACCGTGACAATATTTGTCGCCACCGACAACCGAGGCGAGAGTAATAGCGTGAACGTTAGCGTTTATTTGCCCTCGTAGCCTTTCCCGTAGGATGCCGTCTGTTTGCCGAGGCTTTGTTTCCGTCAGTTTCCGTTTCTTGCGCCAACACGGCGGTACCTCTGTGATCCATCCGGTCAACGAATATGCACGACCGTTTTTGGCCGATCGCAAGATAACGCGGCAGCTTAGGACAATTACGTCTTCAATTACGGCCAGACATCTGGGCAGTTATTATGTATCTAATCGGAATAGTTTACGGAACGATTTCGTTTTACCTTACGTTTCCCTAAATATCTTATCGTGTTGTTTAGGAAAAAAACAATTATTCCAAACAGAAATGCTTCCGAGTACATAATAACTACTGTAATGTCTAATCGTGTGAATCATCGTTTTTACATTCTTAGCATAAGTGTTAGTATTGTAAGAGCCTGTGTTAAATTTGAACGAAATCTACTTATTAACATTATGAAAAAAAAGAAAAGAAAATAAGTAAACAATTCAATGTTTATCCAACGAATTAATCAATATAATATCCCAATATTATTCAATATAAAGATCAATTATCGCAAAGTCTGTTTTCACCGAGTCTTCTTTAAATCCAACTTTCCAATCATTAATTAGACGCTTACAGTAGATCTTATAATTAGCCCAACGTTGAAAAAGTTAGACGAACATCATCAGCTTTTTGAGTCTTCACAAAAAATAAAGATTTAAAAATCATGAGAAACTTCACCCTCATTTCCTTAATTGACTATGAAATTAAATACGTAGCTTTACTAAATAGAATAGTGAAACAAAATCATTATAATTCTACGTCATAATGATTCAATAAATAAACTACTTGGAGCCAATCGGATAATTATGACAGAGAGTCGTAATTAGTTAGCGACCGTAATAATTTTAGTAATGAAATCAATGTCATTTTTGACATTGATGTATTATGCAGTTATAGCGTATTGTCGCATTTTCCATCTACAACTTTATCGTCCTCACAAATAATTTTGAATATTTTACTTATGAAAATAGCAATGTAGCGCTGATTAGGCTTATCTTATTAGAATAAAAATAATTTTTAAGAAATGATGAATTTTGTAATTAAAAATATAAGACTCGAGACTTTGGGTTCTCTAATTTGTTATTAATCATCACTAAGCAAAAATCAACATTATTATTATATAAGCGTAATGCATAAAAAAAGGATCTAGTTTTACTGCATTAATCAATTATTTTCTATTGAATATGTAAACTTCCTTGTTTTATATTTTTTATAATTTCAGGTTTATGCTTTATAATTATACTATGTTAAGCACAGAGTAATGTAATTGTATGTAGCTTTTGTATCATACAATATGAAAATAAGAGACACTCGTTAATTTAAACCGAATTATTACGAAACGTGCAGTATAAGATATAAAGTGCTTTGTTTTTAAGAAAAAAATTTAAGAATTGCTCATTTTTTCGTTGCACAATACAGTCCGATTAAACAATCCGACATTTGTCCGACATCGAACAGAAATATACGAGAAAATGAGAAATCAATATAATTAGCAACATTGACCAAAACTGACGTTTCAATATACCGCATTATTATTTTTCACTAAAGCAGTTACGTGTTTGACATCAGCAATTTCTATAGCAATCAATATGTATTTCCAACATGTCTCTCTGCATGTCAAAGATACTCGGACACCTCTTAATCCGCCATTTAAAAATTTTCAGCGAAGACTACCCTCGATTTGCTATTATTCCCGATCCTATTGTCAATTCCGATACCTTCTCCATTTTTGGCGGTGCATTTTCGCAAGCTGAATCGGTGGCCGCGGCACGACGGTGAAGTCGCCGCATGCCAAGCTCGTCGGCGTCGCCTTTGTTGCCAATCGCTCCCTCGTCTTCTTCTTCTTCATCGCACTCCTCTTCCTCTCTTCATCGTCGTCGATCTCCTCTTTGCCGGTTCCCGAGGAATTTTTCCACCACTCGATCATTCGGGTGACTCGCGAGGGAGGCGATCATCCCGTCTGGATAGGATTGTCCAATGAAGCGATACCGCAAGATCTCGATGGGCGGCGCCCGGAATCCTGGCGATGGCTCGCCGGTCTGGCGACTTCGTGGTGGGGCCCTTGCAGAGTCCGAGCGAACTGCCTGTGGTGGGGGGATTGACATCGACTACTGTGCATTTCCCACGTGCCCTGGGAACCCCCGCGGCATCGTGTCAGCCCCCGCTCTTCGCTTTTGCACGCTCCTTCCACCTCCATCTTCTCTCCCACACTATCTGCTTCTCATCGTCAGCGGCGAGCGTCTCTCCTTCTGTCTGCCTGTCTGTCTCGTTTTCTTTTTCGCTCCTTCTCTTTCACTCTTCCTCCTTCTTTCCACTTTCTACTTATCTTTGCTCTTTTCCCTGTGTTTTGCTTAACGCGGTAGAAATCAAGAAATCGATGCGTCTGTAAATTTTTTTTTTCCCTCGAGAATCGATCTGTTGTGCTTCGTTTTCGCACGTAAGTGCTACGATCATCGCGATGATTGCTCGCATCGTTTGTCCGCTGAGATATCAATCAGTCTATCCTGAAAACAATCGGTGACACGTTCCGCTATTCCTACACGTAGGCAGATAGTTAGATGGATGGAATGCGTGCCGGGTAGAGTCAGTGGCTCTAGCTTTTGGAGTGCTACCTTCGTAGCGCCTTTACGATCGGCGGCTACCGCCCCCGCGGGGGGTATCGTTTTGGGAAAGAGCGAAGGCGGAAGGAAGCGGCTCAAGTATGCCAGAGCGGTATTCAAACGCTCTAAAAGAGTAGAGGGGTGGAGGGAGACACTACGAGATTATACCAGAAGGGATCGCGGCGTGGGCGAAGAGGGATGCTCTCGTCTCACGGTTACGAGGGCGGGTCCAGACACGGTCCAGTGGAAGGGATCGGGACCCGTAAAGCGTGGAAGAGAGGGAGCAACAACACCGGGACAGCTGAAGGGTGGGGAGGGTGGACGAGGCGCTGAGCGGGAGCTCAGGAAGCTGCGTCGACGAAGGATTTGTGAATAACCGCGCTGCTATTCGGCGACCGTGCCAGACAAGGATGCGCGTAGACCCGGGACAAGGCGCGCTACCACATCTTCCCTTCTTCGTCGAGCCTCCTCTTCATCATCGTCCTTACCTCTTCCTCTGCCAACACCCGCCGTCACCCTCTTCCCTCATTTTCCTTCTTCTGCTCCTGTTCCTCCTCCGCATCCTTCTCTCCACCACCACGTTCGCCTTCTCCCCCGCCTCCTCCTCCCTCGCCGCCCCGGCCGCCTCTTTTCTACCTCTACCATTGCAACGAGGTCGAGGAAGGAACATCCTGGACGTGCACGTTCCCCGTGGAATCGGGGGAGGCTGCCTTCACACGAACGACAACTGGTGGGTAGTCGGTTCGGTAGGGAGGTGTCTCCCGGTCCTCCAACCAGAAGAAGCGAGACGACGGCGACGACGAAGAGACCTTTGGCGGTTACACTGCGTCCTACCGTCTTCTGGTGTGCCTACTATTCGGGCTACCAGCAAACCGAGCGACCGAACCGAACGAAGCTTCAGTCGACGCCGCGCACCCAAACGGTCCAGACCTGTCAGCACAGGAAAATACACGCGCAGCATCTCAACACTTTCACGAGAGCAGCCGACCCACTGAGTAACACGGAGATTCTCGCAGCGTGACACTATACGCGCGTTGCCGTTTGTTTTTCAACCGAGCTGAAACGCGTTTCGCGAGTTTCGTTCGTCGTTCGTCAGAAGTTCGCAGAAGTAAACTTGCATCTTCCGTCAAAGTTTCAAGATTTCCCTTTTTTGGAAGAATATCTCGCTGGACGTTGGTCAACGACGAATTCTCACTCGTATCTCATCTCCATTAGATTGGTAAGTCAACTGATATTATTTTAATAATTTAATTTTAATAATGTATAATGTAGTTATATAATTTTAATTTCTGAGATAGAAGTAGTTACTTAACATACACTCATCGTGTATGCATCTATAAATTCAATGTAATAATATATTTTACACGATAACGAATGATATTAACGAGGGGAAATCAAATAGTTACAACGCTGTAAATTAAATATTTTCCACGAAATGATTCAATACTTTTTTTGTCTAAAATGCATTATATGGAATGAAAGTAATTTCTGAAAGATTTTGCTTCTTCTTATCGTTGCGTATTAAGAATCAAATGGGCGGATATAGCCGCATTTATTTGCGCATCTCAAGTCTTCTCAGCGGCTACCCTAAAACCAGTAGCAAGCTCTTGATGCTACTGGTGTTAAGCGATGCACAGTAGCCACTGCATTTCGATTGGTCGTCAGAAGTCTAGCGAATTATCCACGATAATTTGATGTCAGTCTCTCTAATTTTTTTACGAATAAACTCCGATCTATTTAGTAAATTATATGTGAAACGGCAAACGCGATTTCTCTATGGCATGTATATGAAATAATTTTTTATTTTACAATTATAAGCAATTATTTCTATGATCTAGCAATTCAAGTATAAATTGTTTAAGTTTCTGCGACGATGTCCAGATAATTAATGTTTGTTTCAAATTTTGTGTATAGTACATAATTTTTATAATTTGTATAATACATGAATTTCATGTTAAGTATAGATGAACGAGTAGAAAATTATATGATAAATAAAATTTTAATTACTAACTCGAATCGCATTACAAATTTCTAGTTTTGCACAGTAATTACTTTATTATCAACTGCTATACTTTTCATAGTCTTTGAAATCTTGCAACCAATTTTAATCTCTTTCACTTTAATAATTTATAATAAAGAAAAGTATAAAAACGTTATTGCAACGTGCATTTTTCAACCCCCGTGGACCCAATGTTAGCGCATCGTCCGCATCAAGAATCGTCCGTACGCATCGGAACGAATCCATCACGGAGCAACCATTTTTCTTGGATGCGAAGCGTGAGCCCCCGGCCTGATAGAAAATATCTCTCGTAAGAAACGCCCTTGCGTGATCGTTCGCGTTTCTCGCGTCCGCTAGTATCGCGGGTCGGCGAGAGGGAGGGTGTGGTCCCACCTTGGTGAACTTCTCCGGCTGTTCGGTAGCTACTGGCCGAAAACCGGTAGTCGGCGGTAGGGCGGTGCACAGTAGCAACTCTTTGGTTGGCTACCGGCCTTCGCGCTGTGGCAAGCGAGCGAGCGAACGAACGAGGGCTACCGCTCCTTCCTTTATTCCTCTATACACGCGAGAACGAGTGCACGCACATCGAGAGCTCCTTGGTTGGCCGGCTCTCTGTTCTTCTTCGATTGGCTGCCGCCGTCTTGTTCCACGCACTCCGCCCTTCATATTGCGGCTGTAAGCGCGAAAGAATAAAAAGTACTCGGCTACTGTTCATTTGTACGCGATCTCTCCATCTTGTTACACAGAGTTCTTAAATGTGACAGATCTATAAAGACACCCGCGTATCACGAAAGTCGTTAATCTGTTAGGATAGCACACGCGCACGTAATGAAGATGCACCGCATAAGTCTCTGAAAATCTCTTTAATATGCCTAAGTATGATAAATTATTAACGACTACATAGCTGTTTGAAATAATAAATCTATTTTTGCGTATATAAACTTAAATAAAGTCTTTGTCAATTATTAAAAATTCAATTTTTTCCCTAATTTTTGTTAATTACATAAAATTGGAGCGTCTTTTCTTTTCTACGTTGAACTATGCTCAATATAACATCTTATTTCAGTAATTTGGATGTCGTACGATGCTTCACATAAATAATTCTATATCTTTGAAATATAAAAGATATTTTATTATTATGTGATTCAATTTTGATATTATTGTCATTTTCAAATAAAAAAATTGAATTAAATTATTAAAACATAAAAAAATTGTTGAATTTATTACAGAATTTATTAAAGAGTGAGTATTCACAAATAATCTGACATTGTCTTTAAACGCTATAAAAATTGCATGAAATTTATTTTAATTGTTTGTCCAATCGCGCAATTTCGTTCATCTTGTGGAAGAAAGCTTCACCTGATTATTTCGCGCGAAAAGTTCCGTTTGCGCGGTACAACAAAATTCACTTTTGCATAACTCCGTACGTACGAAATGCTTCTTTGCTTATTGGCAAACCTTCTAGTATGGCGCATTCATAAATGCGAAGGTCTACATATATCTTATTATCATATATTATCATACATTATCATACATTAAATAAAAGCATTTGATCGCGCGAACTCGGTAAGTAAATATAGTAGCTTGTACAATGTTCACTTTCTTATGATATACGCGCGTATGAACATTGTTATTTGCGCTCGACGCTGTTTCATATCGCAAATCTTTCACGCGCATCCGCAATTTCATAATTTTTCAATTATGAATACCCGAAAGTACATTTATCAAAATGGAATTATTCGTGACTCACTTCTGTTACTTTTTTAACTGTCATTTTGATCGCAATCGATCTCAAGAGACTTAGCGGTTATTAGAGAACACGATCGTTTATCATCGCCTTAAACATTATTTGCACGTTCTCTTCGGCATCAGGTGTAATATAAAACCTGAACGTTTACACGGCTAATGTCGTTTTCCTCAGCACCCAACTCATTAACGCACAACTCATTAACTTCGCTTCACGCAAAGTGAGAACCTGTTCCTTCCACATGTTTCCGCCTCGAGTAATACAAGCGTATTGCGACCTCGTAATTCTTCGACAAGATTGCCACGTATGGTAGCCGGTGTATGGCTCATTTATACGAGCATATATCAATATCTTGTGACAAGGACTGCTAATGTCGCGATAAGAAAGTAAAATGATGAAGTTTATAAGAAGGAGCAGGTCTCATTAGAAGCATCTTCAGAAGTGCTCTTCAAACTGAATATTTCCTACGTAGGCATATTTTGCTAAAATAGACTATAGAAATCGTGAAATAACACAATTTCTATAGTCTATTTTAGCAAAATATGCCTACGTAAGATAATAATGTGTAAAATCAACGTAAAAGAAAGATAATTCTTGCAAGTTGTCGCCTGTCCTCATTGTTGTTTACAGTTTTTGGATTTTAGGGACGAGGATTATCTAATTTGTGTAACTGCTCTAAATTTGAATATATCAAATATTTTTCTTCCTGTCCCTTTTTACGGCCGAACCTTTATGTGACCAGGTGCCCAAGTTACTTTGCTTCCAAAGCAGTACGTGTTGTTTCGTTAAAATTTAAAGTATATTATTTGCGTGTCGGATTACGAACTTTAAGAACAACGGATTTCTAGTTTGAATAGGCGTCAGTTTGGACACGCCAATGTTTGTCTGTCCTTCTTCGTGTTTTTTCGCGACGTAAGCCGTCCTGTTTTCGCCACGGCTGTATTATTTCTATATACAAAGTGTATCGTTTTTGCGGATGTTCACGTCAAGGTCTGAATCAGCGTCGGAGGCAGACGGAGGCGGCGATGTTTTTCCGGGGAAGGAGCGGACCCTGTCTTTTTATAGAATTTTATAGAACGCGGAGTCGCGCGTAATGCGCAGTTTCGATTAGGCTCCACCGCCAGTTAGCTACGCTAACCAACCGGGCTACGCCCAGGCACGCTTATTACTCATTCGGACACGCCACTTTATTCGAGCGTGCGCCGTGCGCTTAATGCGAGCCGGTAGCGACCGGCCGAAGCTCCTGTACAATGGCGCGATTGGATCCCGCGGGCTACTTTTTAATACATCGGTCCCAATTTCAACCATGGTCATTAAAAGCAGTTGTTCGATTCCGACCCTCCATTTATATTAATACGGCTATTGTACGAAGGAGTTTGAAAAGTAGTACTTGCATTTGTACAAAAGGTTCCTTCTCTTAATTATAATTTGATATACGATCGCCATTTGCCTTTCTTTTATTCTCTTTTCATCGTGAGTCGGTCTTCTTTTGAAAGATGTCGGAAACGGCAAACAGTGAAATAAATTCTAACTATTGACACGCGAAAATGTGACTTAATGAGGAACTTACGTCAGACTTCAAATTATTTCCGAAATTTAAGAGACATCTCAAGGGTAACCGTGTAAAAATTATGAATACGTTAAAGTAAATATAAAAAAACTGCTTAGAGAACCATTTAGGAATTTTTATTGCGATGATGTTGGAAAAATAATTATACATGATTGGAATAATATATTCAATGTAAGTGTAATGTGTAGATAAATAATAGATGTTTAAAATTAGCTGGACAGAGTCTTTTATAATATATTCATTGTTTTATGAATGGCATTTTACTTCAATTCCAGAATTTAAAAGTAGCATCTATATCGCGTAAAAGTGAATCGCTATAAAAGCAGTAAAAGCGACTGGCTATTTTTATGTTTCTTCTTTGAAGCAACGCTGCAAACTCGGGAAATATTCTTATTATTTGCGTGGCGTCAAATGGGGAGCGTGAAGATTATGGATCGTATTCGCGGCGCGCATTTAGCGCTAAATAGGCTGTTCCATTCCCTCATTTGCCTCGGATATACATGTACAATATCTCATACGAATGAAACTTAAAACTGGACAGTCGAAGTTAAATATGCTCGGTCGGACGCGCGTCGGTTTGAACTACGAGCAGAAGCACTAATAGAAAACTAGTCGTCAATTTTTTATCAGAAGCGCATAGCTTTGTGTTTACTCACACGATGTTTTTTAATCCAAAATTATGTATAGAATAAATATTCAATATAATCACAGAAATTAATATGTTAATAGATTTTTTATGAAACAAATTGATGCTATAAAAATGTCTACTTAATGCTAACACGAAAATTCAAGTATTTTTTTAAAATTCTATTTATAGAAATAAGAATCTCTCATGCATAAATTTCTGCTTGCAATTCCTAGATAGCTATAATTCCTATAGCTTTCAGAAAATGATAACATTACATTGAAAATACAGTTGCGATGCAAAGAATTATGAAACAAAGCTTGCTTAATATTCATGTAAAAAAATGAGTGCTTGCAATCTCATTTATAAAATATCAATAAATTCTACAGCGTTCAATAAACTCTCTTATGCGTAAAACAGGGATAATATAATCATTCCTTTCCGTATCAATAGTCATATTTCGAATCAATAGATGCTTCGCAATAGATTTGGAATCAAATTGCAACCAATTTGTTTTAGAGTTACGAAAGTACCGCTCTAAGCGCAATGCCAATAAAATATCGCGCAAATAATTCGATCCGCGAAACATTCCGTAAAGCGCATTGGCATGCGCACGTTCCTCCTCCTACGCGTTCATAAGGAATGCAAAATACTTCAGAAGTTGCTTCAACATTACTAACCCGTCGTTCGTAGATTGGCGTTTCGCGTAAATATCGTCGGATATCGCCGTTCCTCGCGAACACGCCGCTCGCGCGACTCGGGTGATTCCCTCGAGCGTGCGAGTCAGATCGCAGGGATCAAATCATTCGATTCTGTGTGCTCTTTGCAGGCAGCGATACGAGGATCCTCTCGCGACGTGATACAAGCAGTGATCTTACTCTCGGGAGTCCGTCGAGACTAGGCTTTGCGCGGGAGGAGAAGAGCGAGTCGACGAACGACAGAGAGCTAAGAGAGACAGATAAAGAGGGAAAGAGAGAGCGCGCGAAAGTCTGGGAACGAGACGAAGGGAGACGGAGAGTGCACAAAGTAAGAGAGAGAGAGAGAAAGAGAAAGAGTGAGAGTGACGGAGTGCACTGAGAAAGGAGACAGACGGAGACAGAAGAAGTGGTGGGAGTGACTCCGGGCGTTAGCGAGAGAGCGAAAGAGGCGGGTAGAGGGAAAGGAGAGACAGAGACTCGACCAAGAGAAGGAGCGGTGGGAATTTATAAGGATGTTCGCGATAATGCCGATGGAGACAGAGGGGCACGGCAGGGAGTTCGGCCGGCGGCAGAAGATGCGCGCCAAGTGCACGGTAGAGTTCGTCTGCAAGTACTGCCAGCGGCGCTTCACGAAGCCCTACAACCTCATGATCCACGAGCGCAGCCATAAGGACGACGTGACCTTCACCTGCGAGGTCTGCGGAAAGTCCTTCAAGCGGCAGGAAAACCTCAAGCAGCACAGGTACATCATTATTTCGTTTCTTTCTTCGTTTTATCGACAGTTTTTGTTTGTTTGTTCGTTTTGTGTGGTTTTTTTTGTTTTTTTTGTTTTTGATTTTTTTTTCTTGTTTCGTTCCGAAGACTTCTATTTTTGCACGCTCGCACGGAACACGTATACGCGATCTGATCCATGATCAATCGCCGCGATCTCCGAGTGCTCTTTAGGGGGTCTCCTTGCAACAAGGGGAATCCCGTTCGCGAGTATGGCGTCGTACGTATGAAGAAGATACTCGCGACACACCTGACGTTGTAGAATACCGACAATGTCCCTGTTGGAATATCGCGGCGACCGATCGTGAATCAGACGGCAGTGCGTGACTCTCACTTGCAAGAACCTACGCACGAAAAGTCGAAGCAGCACCGGAGACGTTTTCGTGTTCGTTATTCGCACATCCTCGCCGCTGTTCGCCGCGCGACGGGACTGGTCGATAGAAAATGATTAGCTCTGTCAGCGGTACTCGAGAAGTCAAGCTGGACTGAAATTAACCGTCGTTAGATTGCGTCATCGGCTGTTGCAGCAATCTTCTTCTATTGCAATTATTATTCATTTTTTTTTATATAGCAAGAAAGAAAATTGTGCTTCTGTCAATCCATTGGCAGTCGTTTTGATGCTGCGTAGTGAAAAGTTCTCAAGTTTTTTTGTTTGTCGTTTAGTGTGTTGTTTTTGGTTTTATTTTTGGTTTAAGGTTTTTTAGTTTTTGTTTGTTTTAATATTCTATCTTCAATTTATTTAAATTATCTTTGCATTTGTTGCGAAAAAATTTGGTTTTGTTTTGTAGGACTGGATTTTAAGTTGCGAGATTAATACAAGAAATCGGTCAATCTTTGGGAAAGGCAAAAAAAAAAAAGATAATCGGTTGAAATCAATACCTCATTTTGTGGACTGACTAAACATGATTTAGCGAACTCGTTACAAACCACTCGTTACTCGACGCAACGAAATCCTGAGACGCTTACGAGCCATCGAGTGATTTTACGTAGAGAAATAAAGATATCGCGGTGTGAATGACAGAAAATTAAGTGTTAATACGTCACGAAAATGTCTCACGGTGATGTTCCAGTGTAACGACACTCGCGCAAAACGTTCCATGCGTAAGAGGTTTGTCGTTTTAAAATATACAAAAACTTCAAATTTTTGCTATCAAAATCGCAATGTCGAGTAAAGAAAATTATATATTAATTCCAAGATACGGCTGATCTCGAAAAAAAAGATGCGGCTGAGAGAGGTTTATATGAGTCAGTTTTACGTGTTTAAAACTAATTTAAATGCATCAATAGACGATGATGATGATGATGATGATGTCACGGCAGTAAAAAGAGATTGCGTGACTCTGAAAGCGATATGAGAAATTTTAATCACGTACATTATCATGATATAAATTATAATTCACCATTATTACTTAAATAATAAATTTTTCTACTAATTGTAGACCGTTTGTGCTGCAAGGACTTTAACGCAAACATAATCACTTGTGTTGTTTCATTTTCTACACACGTAACTTAAAATATGCTCGATAAGTTAACACGGGAAAGTTAAAACGCGTTATCTATCGCTTAAGCGGTCACGGTGCTGGCCTCGGGAAGGTCAAAACCATCGGTTCGGCCAAAGGAGGCCGCTACCGCGTTGACCTTTCGCATCAATAGCCTTGTAATGTTGCAACGTGTCACCTTCACCCGCCTCTCGACGAATAGAGGCGAGAATCGGGAGAGAGAAGAGATCCGCGATGAGAGATCCGCGAACTTTGCACTCCTTCTCTCGCCTACGGGCGCGAGTCGGCGTGTCGGCCCCGGCAAGTCGTGGTGCGCGAGCGAGCGCGCGCGGGCCCCGCAGGATCGGCCTGACCCATAAATCAGTCTGAAATAATGCTGCCCCCGCATGGAACGTGTGTGCGCGAGCGCGTTTGAACGAGCGAGCGATAAAATAAATCTTCAATACTAGTGGATACTAATGGATACCTTGTATGTAACGGCGGTGGTCTTGTTTTCTGTTCTGTTGTAGATGTGGGTGGCGGTGAGCGGGAGCTCTGAACCTCCTGCACCTTGACACACACACACACACACACACACACACACACACACACACACACACACACCACACACACAACAC